GAAGCATCTGCAAACGAAATGTATCTGATGAAATGCTAATTTTTATCCCAACGTTACGTATTTTGGCATTTGTCTTTCATTATGTTAAAACAACCAAACAACAACAACAACATCATAATTTAAACAATACTTTAAAAATCAGTATACTTTTAATAGAAATCCATATGTATTTTTTTTTCAAAGTCTGTTTAGCAAAATTCATGTTATTTGTTAAATAAATTAAGATACTAGATCTATAAATTATATGATTATCTAAGATTACCTTTTTGTTTCAAAAATGGCTGTTTAAAAACGTGTTTGAACGTGTACTTTCAGTGTGAAGTATAAAAACGCTTTTTAGATAATCGCCGGATGTGTCAAATCAGACTTTTTTTATTTATAAATACAATGTGACCTTAAGACAAGGAAGTTATTATGTTTGATTTTGCACACGTATTTGCCTATCCTTTTTATATTTGTAGAATTGAATAAATGCTTTTAAATTTGACATAAAGTTTGTTGTGGTTTATTTCTGAAGAAATGTCTTTTGGAAAAAAATTACTTGCACCTTTTGTCAGATACAGCAAACCATTTCATTTTACACCCACACAACACATAAAAATACATAAAAACAGGCAGGGTTGGGGTTGGTAGTGGGTTCAATCTATAAGGTCAAATCAAGTATATGCTTTAAATAGGCTTTTTCATTATTCAGTATAGTTTGCATTTAATCAAATTCATAGTTTAAATTTATTGTTTTGATAGTTTTCCTTGAAACTACCTTGGAATGCGCATTTTGCTCTCCTTTATTTTTTGTTTGGCTTCTGGGGCCTAAGCCCGGCCCACACCTCCTTTTATGGGCCTACAACTTGAAAAAAGCTGCCTACGCCCCTGTCTTCTATCTACCCATCCACTCTCCCTCCCACCCTTTATCAATATCCATATCTTCTCCTTTTCCAGCTTCTATCCTCATTCCCTATCCATTAATTTCCGATCTCAAACCATATATATATATAGCTACCCCCTATCTATTCCTACCTCCATCTCACCCTATCTACCCCCTACCTCTATCTACATTCTATCACTATCCCCCCCCCCCCCTTATATCCCTATTCAACCTCTAAACAAGTCTATCCATCTTAGATATCCTATCTTTTTTGGCGGGAAATTAGTCAGAGTACGTAAGCGATGAGATGTAATGTGTGCTATTTTGAGCATGGGCAATTTTTCCCCTCTGACGCAGAACAAAATGTTACCCAGAATCTAGCTTTTTTTCAGAATCTTATTTTTTACTTTAGTCATGTACAAAATAGTAGAAATATTCCGGATCTATGAACATACGATAGGTCCTAATTGAAATTTGAAACGAGTTGTAAGCTTATTTATCACACACCCGTGCCGATTTTGCGACTCCGTAAAAATGGTATTGCACGGCCGTGCATATATTTTGACGTGACGTCATTAGCGTTATACAAACATAGTGTAAAGACGCGCTAAATGTTAGCGTTATATTATAGGCGCGTCAATGAAAAATGAATCTTATTTCACTTTAAACGGTCATTATTTTGAGTATGTGATAAATTAAATATTAAATTCGTGTAAGTTCATTACTCGTTGAATAAAATAATATTATGCTCGCCAGAGGCTCGCATAATATAATTTTATTCAACTCGTGCAATAAATTCAGTATTGAACGTACACTCATTCAATATCCTCTATTTAATGTTACAGTCCAGTCATTTAGCGGAAAGCGATTGTTTGAACTTTTCGGGCTTTGTTTACATTATTGGGGTTTTGATTGTTTTCACAACTCAGTAATTAAAACGTTAGAAAAGTGTCACCGTTACAAAATAGCGCAAAATCAGAAGATTTTTAAAGTTCCCAGTATTTATCCTATTTTGACGCAAGTCCAGGCTAAGTGTATTGTTAAATATGTTTTAAAGATTATTCTCTTTTTATGTTTGTAATGTCAATTCCTTGAATTAAGTGATACAGTCCATTCTTGTCTGGAACTTAGAATAGCACTTTAAGCTGTACACCACTAAATGTTATGTACTGTTTAACTACATGTATATTTTTTGTCAATTTTACATTTATTTATTTTTGTTTCTTGGAAGACCTACTATATAACGAGGACACTTTATCGAACTAAATTGTTTCAAATTATGCACTGTGGATCAGTAAGATGTGTTCGGCACATTTGCCATGCCAATAATGGTCAAATTATGATAAAAATAATCACCCCTTGATTATCAAGAACAAAATGACTATCCAGGACCCATTTACTAAATGAAATATCAGGGCTTTTTTTTTCCTTTTACAGCAGGGGCCGGTATAGGGCTGCTTCCCCATAGAAAAATTCTTAAAAATCATGCAGTTTTCCCCAAAAATTGAATTAACATCAATTTTTTCTTTCGCTTTTGTAAATAAACCGTGCTATTTCCCCCAAAATTATGGGCAGGGCTGCTTTCTCAACCTGTGAAAAAAAAGTTCTGAATATATACAAGGTAAATAACTCGCTGTAGCGTATTCCCCTGACAAGGTCAACATTTTGCTCTCGCATTTTTTTTATAGGTTGTTGACTTCAAACCACTTTCCTCTCACCCCTATAGTCTCAAGCCGCACAAACCCTATAAGTAGAGAAAGTGATAGCAAACAGCATGGATCCTGATCAGACTGCCCGGATGCGCAGGCTGGTCTGGATCCATGCTGGTCACAAACCCACTATGTTGGTTTTGTCGTGACGCGGCTCATTTCATATTTCACATAATGAAATAATAACTGAAAAGGTTCATAATAAATTGTCTGACTGAACATTTTCAGAATATTTCTTTAAATACATCAGATATAGCTAAAGCTGGCTAGTCACACCTGTTAAAAGTATGAATAACATGTGTCAATAACATCACCTTTAACAGAAGAATTATTTTCATACAGGTTATCATGGGACAATCTATGATTATTTAAACAAATTAAAACCACCTGCTTGAATATGTTTTCTGTTTTGGTTAAATGAATAACAGGTGCTTGTTCAATGCTTTTATGCATTTACTAGAATTTAATTGTTATCACAAGTGTGCTAATACAAAAGGAGTTCCGAAAATTGTACTTTCGCAAATATTTCCACACACCGAAAATCTGCAAAGTTTTTGTAACATAAAAATATTCACTTTATATACAGTAGTAAAATATAGAGCTGTCATCGATAGACATGATATTGATATATTGTTGATATTTTTCTGTCGACCAATAATCGATAAACTTTTAAAAAAAACTGATAATTTTCACAAATTCATTAAATGTTAAGAATTATGAAAATTCACACAAAACATAAAAAGCAGGTACATGTGTATACATGTCTAAAACTTTGCTGTTATTATGTAATGGAATATTTCAAAGCAGTGATGACAAAAAATGGTCTGAAAAAAAAATCACTCAATGTGTATTCTGAAACAAGACACATCATTATCTTGCTGAAATTTTTTATGAAAGTGAATTAGACAATTAATAGACAAGTAATTTTAGATATATTGTTGTATCGTCAATATTTGTCGTCAAATATGCATGACAGCTCTAGTAAAAAGTAGAAAGTGTTGATTTTCTTCAGTCTAAAATAAAACCCTTGACTTTACATCTCATTGGTATCTTTAACAGAGCTCAATGGCTTTTCTACTTCAGAACTCCCACAGCCCTGGCATGATGACAATGGAGAGATATTTCGAGACATTTCTGGAAGACACTGAGAATATGGATTTGAAAATAAAAAAAATAAAGGGAATTATATCAGACTTTGAAATGGGAAAAAACTTCTACTTCAAATGCTTGAGGGCAACCATTATTAATGCCGGAGCTAATGTTAATTTTAGCAATGCCACATGCCAAGTTGAGGAATTCTGGAATTGCAAAAGAGACGATTGGACTCCAATAAGTTTTTTCTTTTTGACTGGTTGCAAAATGCTGAACGATTTCTTTGGAGATCAACCAGCCGTTCCTGTGGATGAAAGTCTTCAAAGATCACTATATAGTCTGCTAAAATTTCTTTCAAAAGGTATGCTTTTAAATATAAATTCACAACTCACTCCCAAAATTATTAGGATATTAATTTAATCGCCCTTAGGACAGTTCACAATTTAATCCCTCCCTGGACTCCATTGGCAAATAGTAACTAAATTGTCAGCAGGAGGAAACCTTGTTCGGAAAGTTTTTTTTTTTTTTATAAGTGGTTGAACCCCGCCACCCCCTCAAAACTAATGGGTGTCTACCATAGTTGTACAAATATGGGCCCTGGGGTTAAAATTGACCCTGCCCTGGGGTCATTGGTTTTCCTTATATGTGTATAGTAAAACCTTTAAAAAATCTTCTTTTAAAAAACCCAAAGAGCTAGAGTTAAGATACTAAGCATGAAATATTTTCTAGTGAGTGTCTACTAACTTTATTCAAATAAAAGCCCTGGGGTCAAAATTGGCCCCGCGAGGGGGGGGGGTCATTGTTTTTCCCTATATGTGTATAGTAAAAACATAAAAAATATCTTCTTTAAAAAAAAACCCAAAGAGCTAGAGCTAAGATATTTATCATGAAACCTCTTCTAATGGGTGTCTACCAAGTTTGTTCAAATAAAAGCCCCTGGGTTAAAATTGTATGTACAGTTGAGCGATTTCAAGGACATCATGACCCTTTTGTTATCCTAAGCCTTTCACCTAGCTACTTATTTCTGCATTTAAGAATAAGTGCTATGGATTCTTTCATTTGAGGAAGCTATCCAACTAGCATATGGAAGGTTGGTGGTTCTACTGAGGTGCTAGCAGGTGCCTGAAATAATACAGATAGGAGATCCCGAGGTCTTTTTCCACCAGTAAAGATGGGAAGTTGCTTAAGAACTTTTTGGTGTGACTTAAAAGCGAACCAGTACAAATAAGAAAACCCTCTTAGTAAAAAAATTAAAGGTAGCCTGCCAGCAATTTACCGCTGATGAGCAGTCCTGGGCCATCAAATAGTCCTTTTTGTTTAGATATCTTATTTCTTGCAGCTTGTTTAATAAAATTTTAAGGTTTTTTTTCTCTATAGAAAATTAATTCTGTTCTGTTAAAAAGAAGAGATGACGACAGTGAAGCTACCACAGCAAGACGATATGCAGAGCATTTAATGACACCTCTTTTAGATGGGATGACTAACATGATTGGCACATACCCAGGAACAAAGTGTAGAAAATGTTGTGATATGAGACACCCAGTGTCTGGGGATTATGGAGATACTTCATTTGGTAAGATATTTTTTTTAAAATAAGGCCTTTAATAAAATATTGTTTCTTTTCTCGTTACTTCATTTAGTGAGATAATGAAAAATGAGGCCTTAAATAAAATATTGTTTGTTTTCTGTTCCTACTATATTTGATGAGATAATGAAAAGTTAGGCCTAAAATAAATTATTATTTGTTTTCCATACCTACTACTTCATTTGGTTAAATAATTAATAATGTGGCCATAAATAAAACATTATTTGTTTAATGTTCCTACTTTTTCATTTGGTTAAATAATTAATACTGAGGCCCTCAATAAAATATTGTTTATTTCTTCTCCAACTACATTTGTACTTAATGTGGTAAAATAAAAAATATTGTTGGCTTCAATAAAATACTGTTTGTTTCCCCTCCCTAGTACTTCATTTGGTTAAATAATTGATAATGAGGCCTTTAATAAAATATTTTATGTTTTCCCTCCCTTCTACTTCATTTGGTTAAATAATAAATAATGAGGCTCTCAATAAAATATTGTTTGTTTCTCATCCCATTAAATAATTATTAATGAGGTCTTCAACAAATATATGGTTTGTTTCCCATTCCTTCCACTTCATCTGGTGAGATAATGAAAAGTGAGGCTTTAGATAAAATATATTTTGTTTCCCCTCCCTACTTCTTCATTAGGTGAGATTATGAAAAGTGAGGCCTTCAATAAAATATTGTTTGTTTCCCCTCCTGTTAAAAAAATTATAAAAAAGGTCTTCAACAAAAATATGGTTTGTTTCCCATTCCTACCATTTCATTTGGTTAAATAATTGATAATGAGGCCTTAAATAAAAAACATTATTTGTTTCTCCACCTCACTACTTCTTTTGTTTCAGTGATTAATATTGAGGTGTGAAATGAAATATTATTTGTTTCTTATCTCTACTTTTTCATTTGATTAAATGATTAATAATGACGCCCTCAATAAGATATTGTTTGTTTCCCCTCCATACTCTTTGGTTAAATGATTTATAATGAGGCTTTCTGTAAAATATTGTTTCCTTTCTCACTACTTCATTTGGTGAGATAATGAAATGTGAGGCCCTTAATAAGATATTTTTGTCCCCCCCCCACCCTACTGCTTCATTTGGTTGAATCATTTATATATGAGGCTTTTAATAAAATATTGTTTGTTTCCCTTCCCTTGTTTGTTTCCCTTCCCTACTTTTTTCATTCTGGTTAAATAATTGATAATGAGGCCTTAAGTAAAATATTGTTTGTTTCACTTCCCTACTACTTCATTTGCTTAAATGATTAATAATGAGGCCTTCAATAAAATATTGTTTGTTTCCTTAGCTTCTACTTCATTTGGTTAAATAATTAGAAATGAGGCCTTAAATAAAATATTGCTTGTTTCCTGCCTCGGTACTTCATTTGGTGAGATAATGAAAAGTAAGGTCTTAAATAAAATATTTCATGTTTCCTCTCCCTACTTCTTTATTTGGTTAAATAATTAATAATGAGGCCTTAAATAAACATTTTTTTGTTTCTCTTGCCTACGAGATATTGAAAAAGGAGGTCTTAAATAAAATATCTTTGGTTTCACGTCCCTAATACTTCATTAAAAATTTTGGTAATGAAGCCTTAAATAAAATATTAATTTTTTCCTTTCCCTACTATTTCATTTAATGAGATTCTGAAAAGTGAGGCCTAAAATAACATATTTTTAGCTCACCTGTCACAAAGTGACAGGGTGAGCTTTTGTGATCGCTTTTCGTCCGGCGTCCGTCCGGCGTCCGTCCGTAAACTTTTACTTTAAATGACATCTCCTCATAAACCACTAAGCCAATTTCATCCAAACTTCACAGGAATGTTCCTTTGGTGGTCACCTTTAAAAATTGTTCAAAGAATTTAATTCCATGCAGAACTCTGGTTGCCATGGCAACCGAAAGAAAAAACTTTAAATATCTTCTTTTAAAAAACCATAAGAGCTAGAGCTTAGATATTTGGCATGAAACATCTTCTAGTGAGTGTCTACCAAGTTTGTTCAAATAAAAGCCCTGGGGTCAAAATTGGCCCCGCCCCGGGGGGTCATTGATTTTCCCTATATGCATATAGTAAAAACTTAAAAAATCTTCTTTTAAAGAACCCAAAGAGCTAGAGCTAAGATATTTAGCATGAAACATGTTCTAATGGGTGTCTACCAAGTTTGTTCAAATAAAAGCCCTGGGGTGAAAATTGGCCCCGCCCCGGGGGGTCATTGATTTTCCCTATATGCATTTAGTAAAAACTTAAAAAATCTTCTTCAAAAGAACTCAAAGAGCTAGAGCTTACATATTTGGCATAAAACATCTTCTAGTGAGTGTCTACCCAGTTTGTTCAAATAACAGCCCTGGGGTCAAAATTGGCCCCGCCCCGGGGGGTCATTGATTTTCCCTATATGCATATAGTAAAAACTTAAAAAAATCTTCTTTTAAAGAACCCAAAGAGCTAGAGCTAAGATTTTTAGCATGAAACATGTTCTAATGGGTGTCTACCAAGTTTTTTCAAATAAAAGCCCTGGGGTCAAAATTGGCCCCGCCCCGGGGGGTCATTGATTTTTCCTATATGTATATAGTAAAAACTTAAAAAATCTTCTTTTAAAGAACTCAAAGAGCTAGAGCTTAGATATTTGGCATGAAACATCTTCTAGTAAGTGTCTACCAAGTTTGTTCAAATAAAAGCCCTGGGGTCAAAATTGGCCCCGCCCCGGGGGTCATTGATTTTCCCTATATGCATATAGTAAAAACTTAAAAAATCTTCTTTTAAAGAACCCAAAGAGCTTGAGCTAAGATATTTAGCATGAAACATGTTCTAATGGGTGTTCTACCAAATTTGTTCAAATAAAAGTCCTGGGGTCAAAATTGACCCCGCCCCAGGGGGTCATTGATTTTCCCTATATGCATATAGTAAAAACTTCTTTTAAAGAACTCAAAGAGCTATGGCTAAGATATTGAGCATCAAACATGTTCTAATAGGTGTCTACCAAGTTTGTTCAAATAAAAGCCCTGTGGTCAAAATTGGCACTGTCCCGAGGACATTGATTTTCCTTATATGTGTGTAGCAAAAACTTAAAAAAATCTTCTTTGAAAAAAACCAAATAGCTAGAGTTAAGATATTAAGCATGAAACATCTTTTAGTGAGTGTCTACAAAGTTTGTTCAAATAAAATACCTGGGGTCAAAATTGGCCCCGCCCCGGGGGTCATTGATTTTCTTTATATGTGTTTAGAAAAAACTTTAAATCTTCTTTGAAAAAACCTAAATAGCTAGAGTTTAGATATAAAGCATGAAACATCTTCTAGTAAGTGTCTACAAAGTTTGTTCAAATAAAAGCCCTCGGGTCAAAACTGGCCCGGCCCCAGGGGTGTCATTGTTTTTAACTGTATGTGTATAGTAAAAACTTTTTAAAAAAATCCTCTTTTTACAAGCCCAATGAGCTAGAGCTTAGATGTTTAGAATGAAACATCTTCTTATGGGTGTCTACCAAGTTTGTGCAAATAAAAGCCCTTGGGTAAAATTGGCCCTGCAACGTTGGGGGGGGGGGGGGGGGGGTTGCTTGGCCTATATACAGGTGAGCGACCTCAGGGCCATCATGGCCCTCTTGTTTGTTTCTCCTCCCATTACTTCATTTGGGTGAGGCCTTTATTTCCCCTCCCGCTATCTACTGACAATAATGCAGGTACCCAACAAATTTTATTAGCTGTTTTTTTGTTGCACATGGAAGCAAAGATGATGTTGCCATATATTTATGGAAATGATTCAAACTTGTTATTTGTGTAATTTGCTTTAAAGATCCGAAGTGGTTAACCACAATAAGTGAAATTATATATATGTACATAATTATGCAAATAAAACAATTTTCAAACATTGAAGAATATGTAAAATATGTACTGCAAATATTTGTGCATGTTATATGCAATTATTAAAATATATGCATTCATTTTTATTGTAAAATATGACTAAAACTTTAAAGAAAATAAATTTCTAATTACCTCCCTTTATTTACATGAAATGTTAAATTCGGTAATATCTTTATAAATAATGCTTTTTTGAACCTACAATATTGATGAATCTTAATTTGACCATCATATTTGTGATTTAAAACCATAAAAAATTGTGTTAAAGGATTTTCAAGCGATCACAGCGCCCTCTTGTTTCTAATTAAACAAAAATTCATCACAGTGATAGAAAGTTAAATGTTTTAATCTTGTTGTTTTTAAGGTCTGCAAGGTGGATGGCATGGGAATGTTGACATACTTGTCACATGCAAGAATGAAGAATTACTACCTGTCTTTATTGGAGAGTCAATCGACGATGAAATTTTAGAAACTGATGAAAACATTGTGGACAATTCTTTAGATCAGATTATGGCAGAAGCAACTGTTTTCTCATTTTTTCAGCGTAAACAGAATTCCGGAAGATTAAAACATAATTTGATTCCTAGCATCGGAATTATCAGTGGAAAGTTAGTTGTCTTCATGTATGACTGCGAAAATGATGTTCTACTTGGATCAAGTGTAATGCCCCTTTTGAATCAAGGTGGTGTCGCTGTCAGCAGTGTTATTTTTCTCTGGTTCGTTCTGAACTACAAGCTGTTCGGTACAGGACTGATTGCTGAGCTTAAAAGATACCAGGCAAATGTACACAGACTACTAGGGGATGAAAAGCTTGAGGAATACAAAACTAAAGTTTCTATGCCTTTTAACAACACATTTTGTCAAGATATATCATATGATCCAACAAGTTTTTTCCATGAAGATCCAAAAAGGAAATTAAATAGCTACCCTGAAGATCAATATCCAGTGAAGAAACTGTTGAAGAAGCAATGACAGTAGCAATGAATTTTTAACATCAACTGCTGAAAAATCAGATAAGTTTGTGAGGAAATGAACAATTCAGACTACTGGTCAATGTGAAATTTTCACAAATTTAACGCATCTTTCTGCTTATGCCCAAAAGGTGGCATATGTCTGCGGTTTGATTTCTTTTTATGGACAGATTTTAAAAGAATTTTGTGTTGCATGTGAAGACAATAAGCCCCATGTTATTATACTTGAAAGGATTTTTTCCTTAAAGTGTTTTTTTCTGTTGTATACTGACATTAATTTTCTATATAGATTTTAAAGCAACATAGTAACAAGTTGTTGCGGACAAAAATCAAGTATCAACAAGTATGATAATTATAATTATTTCATAAAAGTAAATACATTGATGATCACGTCTGGTCAACATTTCCGCCAATCCGAGATGCATTTTTGTATTGACATAATGTATGTTGTGCATACCAGGTGTCAATGCAAGAGCAAGGACTCCAAACTCAAAGGTCACACTTGTACGTCCAAATTCTTGTTCATATAAGTGCATTCATGGACGATTGTATCCAGGTTGATATTTCTAGAATCCTAGAATAAGATGGTTTTAAAAATTAATTAAATTTAATTTGATTAAATTACTTGATACAAATATGTTAGATATGATGGTGACACATAGTAGCTCAACGGTTAGTGTCACACTTATAATGTCCTTTGTGGTCTAGGGAAACATTCAAATGCTTCATGTGGTGCTGTTTTTAACCAGGTTTTCAACGAAAACCGGGTTATTGTAATGCCGAAGTCGGCAGGCGGACGTCAACTTTTGGTTGCTGCTCAATAACTTGAGTTTGCTTTGGCCTATTGACACCAAACTTGGTGTGTAGGCAGCATATTGCAACCTAGGTGTCTGTGATCAAGGTCAAGGTCACTGTTACTAAAAATAGAAATTCAGTTTTCGCTAAATAACTTGAGCTTGCTTTGGCCTATTGACACCAAACTTGGTGTGTAGGCAGCTTATATCAAGAGGCAGCTTGGGATTGCTACCCAGGTGTCTGTGATCAAGGTCAAGGTCACTGTTACTAAAAATAGAAATTCAGGTTCTGCTCAATAACTTGAGTTTGCTTTGGCCTATTGACAACAAACTTGGTGTGTAGGTAGCTTATATCAAGAGGCAGCTTGGGATTGCTACCCAGGTGTCTGTGATCAAGGTCACTGTTACTAAAAATAGAAATTCAGTTTTCGCTCAATAACTTGTGTTTGCATTGGTCTATTGACACCAAACTTGGTGTGTAGGTAGCTTATATCAAGAGGGCAGCGTGGGATTTATATCCAGGTGTCTGTGATCAAGGTCAAGGTCACTTCTAAAAATAGAAATTCAGTTTCACCTCAATAACTTGAGTTTGCTTTGACCTATTGACACCAAACTTGGTGTATATATAGCTTATATCAAGAGGCAACTTGACATTGCTACCCAGGTGTCTGTGATCAAGGTCAAGGTCACTGTTACTAAAAATAGAAATTCAGTTTTCGCTCAATAACTTGTGTTTACATTGGTCTATTGACACCAAACTTGGTGTGTAGGTAGCTTATATCAAGAGGGCAGTGTGGGATTAATATCCAGGTGTCTGTGATCAAGGTCAAGGTCACTTCTAAAAATAGAAATTCAGTTTCACCTCAATAACTTGAGTTTGCTTTGACCTATTGACACCAAACTTGGTGTATGGATAGCTTATATCAGAAGGCAGTGTGGTATTGCCACCCAGGCGTCTTTCATCAAGGTCAAGGTCACTGTTTCTAAAAGAAAAAAATCAGTTTAAGCTCAATAACTTGAGTTTGCTTTGGCCTATTGACACCAAACTTGGTGTATGGGTAGGATAATATTATATCAAGAGGCAGCATGAGATTGCTACCCAGATGTCAGTGGTCAAGGTCACTGATACTAAAAAGAAATTCAGTTTTTGCTCAATAATTTGAGTTTGCTTTGGCCTATTGACACCAAACTTGATGAATGGGTAGCTTATATCAAGAGGCAGCTTTGGATTGCTACCCAGGTGTCTGTGATCAAGGTTACTGTATTCAGTTTTCACGTAATAACTAGAGTATGCTTTGACCTTTTGACACCAAACAGAAAGTTTGCGAAAATTGTTTCCAGCACATCATTATTCATTAAAGCGGCCTTTAAAGTTAACATGTTATTTTAAGATAAATTGTTTCATATAATTGTCAGATCAAAAGAATCTTGGAGGAAAATGGAATTTGCCATTGATAAAATACATTTACAATAAGGACTACACCCCCTTCTGTATGTAAATTAGTAAAGAAGACACAATCACTGACACATTAAAAATAATTCACAGTTTAGAAGAAGGCCCTTTTCCTAGTTAAAATTATTGAAATACTTAGTTTGAAGCAACACAGAGTTGTTAACAACAAACAATAAAAGCGGAAGGTTACTTTAACGGCATAATTTATGATCATAACTTTTGTATTTTTATGGTAACAGCTCTGTTTTTAATTTTTCCCTTGTGTTAAGTATGCAAACTTTATGTAGACCCAGTCTTTTTGTTGTGGATTGAAATTACGTCTGTTTGTATACACTTGGAGATTTCTGTAATTAAATGAATTATTAAACGGAAAAAAGTCAGTGAAATTTGATGTTATTGTTCAATCGAACCATGTGAAATGATTTCATAATTTCTGTCTACAATTGATCATGAATATTTTATTAGTATCATTTGAATATTCCGTATCGCAAATGTCATAGAATTGTATTATTTGATACTAGTGTTGGCAACTCTTTTGTTTTGACAAATATTGTTTTGAAATTTGTCATGCACGTAATGCAATGTGAGAATGCTAGTACAACAATCATGTGGCAGTTGAATGGTATACCCACGATCCTATTATTCCATCATTTGAAGTGTGTTATTTGATTCTTTTTCATAGCTCTTTTAATTTAACATGCGAATAGTGTACGTGATAGGTTATGATAATTCTTGATAAGCCCTACATTGTACATAAATGGTTGTATGCATAATATTATGTAACTCTAGCCAGTAGATGTTGATAATGCAAACAATAATAATGCAAACTATCATTTTTATACGGCCATATAACCTGTCACAAATCTTGATAACGAATTTATAATAGTACAGGAAACTTCCTTTTTTCGTATTTATTCACAAATTTTAAAGCAGCCATGTTTATAAAACTATATAAACGTTATGCTTTAATGTAAACAACAATACAAACATACAGTATTTTAATAATAACAAAATATTATGATGAAATATAACTTATATCTTATTCTATAGATGTTAATTGTCTCTTATGTTATGATTCGAAACAATAATTATATGACTGTGATCAATGATGTATTTGTATTTATTATGCTTCTCATTCAATTCAAATCAATCAAATGTGACCTTGACCATAAAGTCAAATTATTCAAAGAAGTGGGGGTATATTGCTTTGCATTTGTCTCTCGGTTGGTCGGTCTGTAGACCAAATGGTTACCAAACAATAACTACAGAAGGATTAGACCGTGGAACTTTAAAGTTAGCATGGGGATTGTTCATGACCAGAAGATGACCGCTAATGTTTTTTGGGTCATCTTTAAGTTGACCCTGTAGGTAAAAACTGTTTCTGATAAATAACTTGGTGACAACCCTTAGGCCGGTTGCCCTCAAACAGAATAGAGGCATTGGTTTTGGCCAGTAGATGACCTCTATTGAATTTGGGGTCAAGGTCACATTGAAGTTGAATGTCAGTCTTTTCCAATTAATAACCAGACAACTCATGAGACTTTGACCTTCAAACTTCACAAGTAAATTTGTCTTGTAGATGAACCCTATTGATTTTGGAGTCAAGGGGTCGAAGGTCGAGGTCATATTGACCTTGTAGAAGAAAACGCTTTCTGATCAATAACTTGACAACTCATGGGTCCTTTGCCTTCAAACTGAAAGGTGCATTAGTCTTGGCCAGTAGATCCCCTAGTGATTTTGGGGTCATGATGTCATAGGTAAAGGTAACATTGATCTTGTAGGTAAAAACGGTTTGCGATCAATAACTTGACAACTCATAGGATGTTGGCCCTCAAACTTTGTAGGATGCATTTGTCTTGGCAAGGAAATGACCCATGTTGATTTTGGGGTCAGGTGGTCAAAGGTGGTGACCTTGTATGTCCAAACAGTTTCCTTTCAATAACATTGGCCTTTTACCTTCAAACTTCACAGGTGCTTTGGTCTTTGCTAGTGCTTAAGATTTGTGACTAGGTCATGAAACTGCTGCACACAACCTTTACAGTCACAATGACCTACTGACTAGTCATGACCATAACCGCTATTGATTTTTTGGTCACTAGGTCAAAATTCTGTCACAATAACCTGGCCACATGATTAATTGGCTGTCAGTAGGGGGCATAAATGTTTTACAAACATATTTTGTTTAGTTAAGGTTTAATTGTTATCAAATTTATATTTAATTATTAGCTCACCTTTTCTTTTTAGCTCACCTGTCACAAAGTGACAGGGGTCCTGTCACAAAGTGACAGGGTGAGCTTCTGTGATCGCTTTTCGTCCGGCGTCCGTCCGTCGTCCGTCCATAAACTTTTACTTTAAATGACATCTCCTCATAAACCACTAAGCCAATTTCATCCAAACTTCACAGGAATGTTCCTTGGTGGCCACCTTTAAAAATTGTTCAAATAATTTAATTCCATGCAGAACTCTGGTTGCCATGGCAACCGAAAGAAAAAAACTTTAAATATCTTCTTTTAAAAAAACCCAAGAGCTAGAGCTTAGATATTTGGCATGAAACATCTTTTAGTAAGTGTCTACCAAGTTTGTTCAAATAAAAGCCTTGGGGTCAAAATTGGCCCCGCTCCAGGGGGTCATTGATTTTCCCTATATGCATATAGTATAAACTTAAAAAATCTTCTTTTAAAGAACCCAAAGAGCTAGAGCTAAGATATTTAGCATGAAATATCTTCTAATGAGTGTCTACCAATTTTGTTCAAATAAAAGCCCTGGGGTCAAAATTGGCCCCGCCCCAGGGGGTCATTGATTTTGCCTATATGCATATAGTAAAAACTTAAAAATCTTCTTTTAAAGAACTCAAAGAGCTAAGATATTTAGCATGAAATATGTTCTAATGGATGTCTACAAAGTTTGTTCATATAAAAGCCCTGGGGTCAAAATTGGCCCTGCGAGGGTGGGGGGGGGGCGAGGGGTCTATATACAGTTGAGCGACCTCAGGGCCATCATGGCCCTCTTGTTTTTTAGCTCAGCTGAGCTAGCTTAGGGTGAGCTTTAAAGATCGTTGAATATCCATCGTCTGTTGTCCGTCCAAATTTGTTCATTACCACTCTAGTAGTCACATTTTTGCTTTAATCATCATCAAACTTTGTCAGGATGTTTGTCTAGTTTAGTGCTCGTATGAGTTTGAACATGGGTCATCTCGGATGTAGAACTAGGTCACAGGATCGTAAATAGAACAATCTTGTAAACTCGCTAGTGGCTTCTGTTTTTGATCTAAATATCCTGGAAATTGTTCTGCCAGTTTGTTTTGATGATTTTTAGGTCAAGCTCGAAATTAGCAGTAGTCCTATAGCCTCTGACTACTAAATATCTCCTCGAGCTACCAACTTTTCACTGTAACAAGCCCGACCAGGCTACTGTATTTTCAGAGGCAATATAAACAACTGTTTTGAACAAATGATTCATGCTAGTGAAATGTCTTTTGGGCTAGTGAATATTCCAATCTGGTAGACCGACCAGCCTAGTGGATTCAAATCCGAATTTCTTACACTGAATATGCATCTGGGGTCAAAAATATGTCACCCCGCCAAATATGGAAAAACCTAATAAACACTCTAGGAGTCACATTTTTGACTCAATTTGT